GTTACATGTATGATAGATAGATACATACTACCTCATCAAGTCCTAATATTAATTGTTTATGAAATCATGTGTTAGCTAATTACCTTGGTGAATGCTTTCTTTAAAGATGATCTGGTGTATTGGTCAACATTATTCCCTGCAGAATCTGAAGTTAGATCGCCTTTCAGTTCATATCCGTATCCAGGTACATCTTCTTCCAAGATTCTAGTGGCCGAGAAAACTAGAGGAAGAATATGCTCCATCACACCAATCGTTCCTTTGTTAAAACTTTCATGGTAATCCAGCAATCGGTTCTCGCACCACTTAGTCATTGAAGTCAAGACAGAAGACAACATTTTTACATAGACGGGCTCTCTATCAACTTTCTTGGAGTCATTTGCCACTTCTGTCAACATGGTCAAGGAGGCACTAAGAAGATCGTTCTCCACGTGTCCTGTATTAACATATTGCTCGAAAAGTACCCAAGTGAGACACAAGTCATGCATGGGTTTGTTGATTCCGAAAGTACTCCATGTTTTCTTCATAAGCTCAAGGAGATCATCCACCTCGTCAAGGATGCTAGTCTGGTCTTTTGAGTCGAATATAGAATGAAGGAGGGCAGAATAGAGGTTAACGTTGAATGGGAAACCATCAGCCCAGTGGCAAACATCAGTTGGGCACCCATCGGCACTCCTCCATGCCAATGAAACCACGCAATTACACACGTTTCTCATGGTTTCAGAGTTTTTTCCGGTATCAATTGGCTTGACATCGCTGCTACGAACCACGTCTTTAAGACACATTGCAAAGGAGTCAGATTTATCCAGGGGGTTTGACGGGTGAAGGAGGAGTCCTGCCTCGAGGATCTTTAGTTGACGTTTTTGCCAGATATGATACTCTTTTGAATCGTTGAATTCAGATGGCTTTAGATGCCGGAGGAGCTCTAATGGAAGAATTATCGTCTCTGCACGTCTTCCCATCTATATATTATTTTATTCAATTTGTCAGCCCTAGTTTTGTAATTAATTAAAGAAGCATGAATGATAGATCGATCATTCAAAAAATCGATGAAATTAATGATTGATGTGAAACATTTAATTTCTTGCCTGTCCAACGAGGGTTCTCATGAGTGTTTTTCGCAGCCTGTTATCACTTGCCTCCGGCACGTTCATTTGTTGCCGCATGATCTCTGCGGATGTCAATGGCCTCCTGGACCTCCCTGGTACAGTCGAGAATCCAATGCCGGGGTTCGCATTTCCGTGGGGTCCTCCGGGAGACATGGGATTCGTCCCGCAGGAGTTGCTTCTCCGTGAAGAATGAGATTGTTTTAGCATCTTCAACCCAAGCGCCCTCTTGATTTTACTGGTTACTGCCATCCCCACCCCATGAACCCCAGCTTTTGCCGGAGATCCGGTACCACCAGATGTATTATCCCCTCCATTACTTTCTGACGAGTAAAATTGGATGGCATTACGACCTCCAAAACCTGGCGACGATCTGCATGACGTGAAGAATATTTCATAAGCGGTCGTACGGATGTCATCATGGTCAAGGCCTTCGAGGGTTCCGAAAGGCCAACAAAGGTCGTGATCTAGGCGGGTCGTGGTGGTGTTGGTGTTGTCATATTGTGGCATGGTGGTAATTATTGGTGAAGATGACAAGGGGTTGTCAAATTCCGTCCAAGAGATGCGTCGTCAGATATCCGGCGGAAAAGACATACGAGAGCAACTCAACATCCTTTTTAATTTTTATTAATCTTTAAATTTTGGGAAAACAAAAAGGATGAGGAGAGAGACAAATAGGTTGTTAAGTTTCTTTGGACATAGATATCCATGTTTTTTCAAAGGCCATCATTTTTTTGTAGACGCCAAGTGCATGGTTCAACTGCCATAATAATTATTTTTGCATTTGGTATTATATAACTAAGATATTTACTTATCCAAAAAAATCCAAGACAACGAGACTATCTAGAGATAAGGTAGTTTGGTATACCCAAGATGAAAGCCTCCATGGTCTAGCCGTCCATGAACCACGATCGTGCACATCATCACAGTGCCTCGTAGTGGCTCGTGATCGTGGTAGTTCATGTTAGGGAGGATGGAAGAGGACGCCAATCAGGTCTCTCTTCTCCTCTCTTCCATTATTCTTCTCTCTTGCAGACCACAATGAAGATGATGTTAAGCACCATCCCGACTATGTTGAGGAAGACGATGGCGGTGACATGGAGGTGGAAGGAGGCCTTGTGAAGACCATAACAGATGGTCTAATTGATTACATGCACTAATGGTGCAATACAAGTAAACATATTGATATACGTTTTTATGGAATTAATGGCCTCAGCATCAAAGAAATATGAACTTTAGTCGACAATAAAATACAATAAAATACGGAAAAAGAAACAAATCTAACCAACTAATTTGCTAAACAAAATAGAGACAAGATAATAACGGAAATAAAATAACGTACTAAAACAATAACAACAAAAATATCTATTAGATCCATTATAGATGTGATCTATTTCAATAAATAATAATTTTTTGTGTTAAATGTCACATTTAGACAGGTGAGTTGGTCTTCCTCTCAACATCATTTTGACACATTACATGTTATGTCGTACTTCATACCATTTCATTTGTATTAGAAATACCATCACACCACTTTAAAAAGGAAACCTAAAAAGTAAAAAGCTAATTGGTGTTGCTTCCTTTTTTTTTTCTTAACATGCATTGAGTTATGTTGCCTTATCAATACCTCTTAACATAAAATTGCATAGGGTCGTGTTTCAAAACCCTTAAATGCATTAAAAGGGTGTCACATAGGATCCTCCATACAATGCATGACCCACACCAAGCATTATAAATCATGTTTTGCAATGTGTCATCTTCGTATTTCTTCCTGAGAGATCCCCCATGCATACCAAACTATATTTACCAAATTGCCTTTCTATTTCTATATATATATATATATATATATATATATATATATATATATATATATATATATATATATATATATATATATATATATATATATATATATATATATATATATATATATATATATATATAGTAAGAGATCATGCATATCCTTAACAAGAAAAATATAAATTAGGTCACTACAAGAAAAATGTAAATTAGTGATGGAAACAAAGTGGTCATTAACAATAGAAGAGTGGTCGCGATTTAGTGACGAGGATATTGGTGGTCACTTTTCGTCACTATATGTCCATCCTAGTGACCAAAACATATAAGCGGTCACTAAATAGTGACTATTTACAGTGATCACAATATCTATGACGAATTATATTGTCAATAAAAAGTAATCACTAATCAATGGAAGTCGTCGCTGTTTTATCCAATTAGTGATCGTAAAATGTCATCACTAAGTTACCCTATCAGTGACCATAAAAATTCATCTATGATTTTGGTTGCTACTTTTACAAATTTATATGTCAGGAATAAGAATCCACGAATATTGATACAATAATATAATTTTTTATACTTTTAACTTAATAGATTCATTGTGTAACAAATTTATGCTAACAAGAACTTCCATTGTGTCAACAAATTTGATTGTTCCCTCTACAAATCTCCGGCATTTCATGAGCATCTCTTCACCTACAATCCAGACCAATATTGCATTGATAATAATGAGGAGTTTCATCCGTGAAGCACGTAAAGATTAAATATAAGAAGGATAGAGGAAGTAATGAAAAGAAAAATCGAAGGCACATTTGGTATAATATTTGTTTTTGGTCAAAAGTTCATGTGTAATGGTTTATTGGAGTTGTGTTTTTGGTCAAAAGTTCATGTGTAATGGTTAATTGGAGTTGTACGACTACTGTGTAATGGTCATGTATTATTTTAATTATTTATCTTTCATTTTGTTAATGAATCCAGTTGTTCACCCCGTGATACACAAACAATAGAAAGCAGAAAGAGAAACAAGAATCAAGTATTTGCATTAAAAAGAAATAGAAATGTTTATAGAAAAACAGAAAGAGAGGCAAGAATCAAGTATTTGCATTAAAACAGAAATATAAATGTTGAACTTAGAGATTATTTCACTACTACAAAAAAAGAGCATTACCGACGGCCAAAACCATCATCTATCGCTAATGCTCTTTACCGACGGAATTGTAACACACTAAAAGTCATCGGTATATTCATTTCGCTAATTGTTTGTAACGGATTTCTGACGGCTATGACTATTTTTTAGTGATAGATTTTTCTGTCGGAAATAGTAACGAATCAACAACGTAATATATTTTGCAACGAATTACTGACGGAATTTGTTTGCAATGGATTTTACCAACGGAAAATTTTACTAACGGATTCCAACGGAATCTAAAATAACTTACTAACGGATTACCGACAGAATTTGGAATAACTTACTAACATATTACTAACGGAATCTCGAAATGACTACAATTTTTTGTGACAGATTAGCGACGGATTTTGGAATTATAAAAAAAAATTTACAAATTAATGAAGAAATTAAAAACTAAAAATAATTACACATTCAACACATAGATTTTTTAAACATACATCAAATCTATATTTTAAAACCAACGAATATAAAAGTAAATCCATAAATTTCAATCATTTGACATACATTAAATCTATAAATTTCAATCAATGTTGTCAAATACCATAAATTTCAATCCATATTGTCAAATATTGTCAACAACCAAAGAATTCCTTCTTGATTTGCTTGTGGATTCAACACCTATCATTGAGAGTTGTTAGCTACAAAGATATTTATATATTGTCAAATACCATAAATGCCCTCAAATGTTGACCATAAAGGGCTTACTTTATGTTTTTACTCATTATAGTTGCATACTTTCAAATAATCATAATAGGAACCATATTAAGTTTTTTCACGATTATACAAAATACTTTATGTTTTTACTCATAATAGCAATGTACTTTTGCCATAATCAAGAACTTTGATAAAGTATGTTGTTATTTCTCACAATTAACCCTTAAAAATATTAAATTATTTCAATATTACCTTTATCATCTTGTGAATTGCTTCAAAAGATCATTCATTTTTCCGAGAAGACGGCTTTCCATCTCTTCTCGTAACTTCACCTCACTATCAAGATTGGCTCGTATTTCCTCCCGTTTCTTCACTTCCCATTCGAGCATGCTCTCTAGTTTATTTATCTAAAATATGTTCCAACAAACATATATAATTAGTATGAAATAGAGAAGTAAATAGCAACATACTTTACTATTTTTATCTCAATGTAGTGATCGCATCCACAATGAAAACATAATTCACATAATAACAAACTTACATCTTATACATATTAGCAATGAAATTTACCCCTTTTTTTTTTTTTTTTTTTACCAATATAGTCAACGTACATACATTTATATAAGAACATACTATATATAAATTAATATAGACGCATACCTTTTATCCATAATAACAACATACTTTACCATCTTTAAATAATATAGACATATACCTTCTTTTGAGATAAGGCGTAATCATAGGATGATGAGTCACACTCGTAAGGTGTCCCCAACATGACGTTGACCGAATATGATGATCCTACCCCATAAACTCGCCCGTTCTTTCTCCCGCTAACACAATGCTCCCATATTTCAGTATCACCCAGTGGATGCTGACTAGGGTCGGGGCCATATTTCTCATACATTGTCTTTTCATATTTGTCCTACAATTTACCAAAACATAAATTTTATTACTACTCTAAACACTTGAATAATAATTAAATACATCAAATCGTAAATCTAAGAAACAACCTACTTTCATGTATTAGTAAGAAATAGAGGAACTTTTTCTAGTAAGAAATAGCAACCCACTTTCATGTATTAGTAAGAAATACAGGAACTTGTTTTCTCTATTTTTATCTCAAACCATAAGTACATCGTATTACACCATAAATGATTATAAACGTTGGTATCTTACGGAGCTAGATGAAAAAAATGGAGAAGCCAAGGGTCTTCTAATTTTGAACTAAATAGAAGAAAATGGTTCATTGATACTTAGGTTATAGCTCTTCAATTTCCAATGATAAACAAAAAGAAGTCTAAGTGTTAAAACATGGAAGAATAGAAGACACAATAAATAATCGCATTGGAAGAAAAAAATTCATTGATATTTTTTGTATCAAAGGTCCAGGTTTATATTGTAACAAATGGTTACTATTTACAAAATATGAAACTTTTTTTGATATCCCTTTTTCATCTGCATCTTCGGCCAATCATGTGGCACTTAATGTGATTCAAAGAGATATTTGGACGCAGTTGTTATCATGATGATATTTTGAGCGTTTTGATAAAATTGTATCTCAATCACTATTTTGTTTTTTTTTAACAGAAGCACTAAGTTAGAAATTAACTAAGTTGGTTAGCTACACAAAGAAAAAATAAATGTTATTTTCTCTTTGTAAAATCTTTTACTTATCTTGCTAGTAGTAGTAAGAATTTGTCCACCATCCACCATATGAGGTGTAGGAGAAAAATGTCTCTCCCTCAAGTGGTTGTTCTAAAAAAAATAGTAATAAAATCTCTTTTGTTTTTTTTTCATTGAAAAGAAAGCATTTGAGTACTTTAAAAATGAAAGTGAATAGCTAATTACTTTTTTGATTGAAGATTCATTACTAGATAAATGCTTCTCTGACTAGCACAAGTCAAGTACATCTAAATTTGATTTCTACCCAAATAGACAAAATAAATATGAATAATTTTAATTGAAAATTAATAAAAAGTTGATAAATTGGTTAATACCAAAGAAAATAAGAAATTACTTAAAAAAACGTCCAACACAAGTTCAGCAACCGTATCCTCTTTTCCTATCCATGAAGAAAAAATACCTATACAAAAACCAAGCAAAAAAACTCACCTGTTTTTTGAATTAATGCCAAAGCTTACTACAAAACCCATTTCTAGGCCGCTTAACATTTATAACATCAGCAAACGAGTGAACCAATTGTCCAGACAAACTACACAATACTCAAAATTCTCCTTTCCTGTTCAGTTGACCTCAAACTAAAGAAACATGAAAAATGCAATGGTATTAATGGGTTGAATATTAAAAGGAAAATAAGCTTATAATAATAAAAAAATCTACAATGCTAAAAATGGTAAAATTTTCAAAGTAAAAGGCCTTGACATGAAAAAACTTGATTGAATTTTCACTGTAAATATCATTATTTTATAATGCAGAAATACTTACAGATTGTGAAGGATCTAGAATTGGAGTTCTTGTAAGTAGTCCAAAGATGATGAGGGATGATGTGGCAGCAATTTGCTCATCAGGGTTGTCAAAAAATTCGTTTTTTTAGTTTATCAGTTTTACCATGTGAAAGAAATAGGAATATTTCTTTATAAATTATTTAACATTATGTAAAAAAAAAGTTTTAGAATACAATGAAATATACCTTTCTTTCTTGAATTGAAATTTGCATTGTGTTTGTGTAATGGAGAAAAGTAGAAGTATTTTAAGAAATGAAGTTTTGCCTTGTGTGATTAATTTTCTCAATTTCACATATTACAATAAGATCAGAAACCCATACAATTTTAAAAAAAGTTAAAAAAGTACTCAAAAAAGTTATAGTAAAGAAACGATGAGATCAACGATTTAAAAAACAGAAGTCTCTTATATACCAACTAATAATCCCCCCGTGGATCAGAAGCAATCATTCCACTCCATCTCCAACTGTATCTTTGAAGTACCTATTTTTATTAGGAGTGTATCTAAACCCATTATCTTTATGATAATAGTGAAAACAACTATAAACCCTCTAGAGTTATAACTAATGCAAGGAATTTAGGAGATTGGGTAAACATGATTATGAATTAAGTATGACCAAGTTGATTTTTATCAAAAAACAAGAGATTAAAGGCTATATTCTTTTCAAATTAAGTTCATGATAATTGATTTATGAAGTGTACTTAATCACATCATGACAATCCTGGTTTTATGAAGAGTATAAGACTATTTATCAACATAATCTGATTAGATAGGTTATCTAATGCTAATTAGAGATATGATAATCAAATGAAGACACAATATAAACCTAAAACTTAATCGATGTAATAGAAAAAATATAAGTACATCCTATTACAACATAAATGATTACAAACATTGGTATATTGAGGAGCTAGATGAAAGAAATGGAGAAGCCAAGGGTAAAAAGGTCATTTAGACAACCCCAGGTTGAAAAACATTAAGAAATAATGAAATAGCAACGAAAAATGCTTAAATTTTGTTGTTGGACCATATCCAAAAAAATGATATTTATCCATGGGGCAAAGTGCACAACCAAATACTGCCAATGAATGGAGTAATAGTTTAACAAATGTCACTAATGTTTCAAATGTTGCAAATGTAACAAATCCAGCTATGAAAACGCAACAATCTGGAAACACTATGGATAAGGAACATGTAGCAAGGATACTTTCACAATCACAACCATCACATTTATGAAGTGTACTTAATCACATCATGCCAATCCTAGTTTTATGAAGAGTATAAGACTATTTATCAACATAATCTGATTAGATAGGTTATCTAATGCTAATTAGAGATATGATAATCCAGTGAAGACAAAATATAAACCAAAAACTTAATCGATGTAATAGAAAAAACATAAGTGCATCCTGTTACACCATAAACGATTACAAACGTTGGTATCTTGAGGAGCTAGATGAAAGAAATGGAGAAGCCAAGGGTAAAAAGGTCATTTAGACAGCCCCAGGTTGAAAAACATTAAGAAACAATGAAATAGCAACGAAAAATGCTTAATTTTTTTTCTTGGAACATATTCGAAAAAATGATATTTATCCATGGGGCAAAGTGCACGACCAAATACTGCCAATGAATGGAGTAACAGTTTAACAAATGTCACTGATGTTTCAAATGTTGCAAATATTACAAATCTAGCTATGAAAACGCAACAATCTAGAAATACTATGGATAAGGAACATGAAGCAAGGATACTTTCACAATCACAACCATCACATGAAGATTTGGTTCTTTTTTATAAAGATCCTCAAGCTTCAATTCAAGGTCCTTTTACTGGTACTGATATTATTAGATGGTTTGAGGCTGGATATTTTGGGATTGATTTTCAAGTACATCTTGCAAATGCACCAAATGACAAGCCTTTTGCTTTACCTGGTGATGTCATGCCTCACCTTTATGTAAAAGCCAGACCTCCACCTGGATTTACTCCTGCTAAAAGTGAAATCAATGATGAATCCAGTATTCCTAATCCTAATGCTATGATGAAGAATGATCCAAGGTTTCAACATGGGTCGACCACAGAAGCTGAGGATAGATTCATTGAGTTCGGGCTTTCTGAAGGTATCCATAGGCATTTTGGGAACCTTGGTTCGATTCCAGCTATGGAAATTGCAAAATGGATGCAGCTTGAAAGGCAAAAATCTAGGTCTGGTCCTTACACTCTTTGGTTTGGGCCCCCTAAATCTGACATTCTTCAAGATCCTTCAATTTTACCTCAAAATCCTCCATATCCATATTTCATGTTTATTCTTCACGGCTTATCTAAAAGGTCCAACTCTGCTGCAAACAGTGGGGTGAGTAGATGGTCTACCTTTCCTGTTTAAACCTGGTTGGACCCACTTCACGGTAAACATTTCCCTCTTCAGACACCATTTGGAGCCCACCAAAGGTTGCAAGGACAAAATCTACCCTAATTGGGTCCACTTACACCCGAAAGCTTCTAGCTTATAACAACAAGTCAACCATAACACGTGTCACAGATAAAACCTCAAATACCTACACCAAAGTTATCTGGATTGGATGAGTATGTACTCAAGTAACAACAACAGATTCAAGAACAACTTAATTGTTGATTGATGAAGAACAGGACGGACCATAAATTACAAGGTCTGAGAGCAAAAATCTTGTCATACAGAAGGAGAAGGGTGAAGGCCCTTGAAGTTTTCCTTTAAGGAGGAAAGAGAGATCACTCTCATCACTGGTTGTCACTGCTCCAAGAGTCTCACCCTCACCACAAACACCAACACCAACCAGAACCACAATCATAATGACCGGAAAAAGGTCAAAAGTAACCTTAAAGAAGAAATCACGTGGTTCCAGCTTCTCCATTGAGAAACCCCCTCCTCAAGAAACAAGAACAACAATTTATTTACTCCTATATTTTACTATTAATGAGAGATAAAATGAATATGCAGAAGAATTGTTTAACTTCTATCCATGATGAAAGAAAAGGGGGGTGAAGGTGAAGCATGGGACTGGAAGCCATTAAATGACCTTGTGGAAGCAACAAATAGGAGTAAATCTTCAAAGCTTATATCATGACAATCCTGGTTTTATGAAGAGTATAAGACTATTTATCAACAAAGTCTGATTGATAGGTTATCTAATGCTAATTGGAGATATGATAATCCACTAAAGAAAAAAAATATAAACCTAAAACTCAATCGATGTAATAGAAAAAACAAGTTAGGGTTTTTTTTACCAAAACTTGTCGGCCCAAATATGGCCTAATTTTCCAAATTGGACCCAAACCCCTTACACAGGCCTTACCATAAATCCCAACAAATTTTCCTTGTACAAAACACTACCCAACACCCACGCACAAAAGAAAGCCCGATTGCAAAATCCCATCTGACTCAGTTCGCCCCACGTACGAGGAGGTACACC